GAAAATGAGAATATTTAACCTAATACATTGCACATTAAATATTCCGCGGAAATTTTCATCGGCTAATTTTTATCAACTATGGTAAAGAGCGTACCCTCTCGTTTCGCTCATCCTGCCTTTTTAGATTCTCATTAAAATTTCAGTTTACGTCACAAATTTTTGACCGCGTTACTTTATGCGTTCCAAACGTCATATTTGTTTAATGCACGGAGGTACAAAGGTTGCTTTTATTACGAGTCTAATTTCTTTCTTTTTTTTTTTAACCTGTGAAAGCACCTCATAAAAGTAGTGCATACTCTCGTTTATTATGCCCTGGCTAATAATTTACGTTTTCGAGCGTCTATGTCGAGATTTGCCGCCCTTATTGTCGCAGTTATTCTTAGAATAAACCCTCGGTGACGCCGGTACTTCAGAATCCTTCTTTGTCGGCCAGCCAACGGAGAGATAGACGGAGGGAAAAAGAGAAAAGTAACACCCGGGGTGTTGGAGAAAAAAGTAACGATGCCGGGGAATGAGTGGGAGGGAGAGAGATAGAGCTTGTCAGAAACAGAGGGATCGAAAAAGAGGTAGAGGGCGACGACGTGAGGGTGAAAGAGAGGAACAAGTAAAGTTGGAGGATGATGGACCAGGGAGAAAACGGAAACAACGGAGAGAATTTGTCTTTACCATACTCTCAGTTACGGAGTCTCTGTATTTGCGCCGAAAAGTTCAGCAGAAATTTTATGAGCTTCGACCAAACGATAAGCGGCATCGAATTTTAAGTAACTTTTGGGGGGATTATTTCTTCCATCGATTAAATTATTTAATTGTATTAAAAAGTGGACACGAGTTTCCGCGAGTTTCCACTTAGCGAGGCATGGCCCTATTGTGGGTAGTGCCTTGAAAAAACACACTCCTAGATTGAGAGTGGGCAACCGGAAAATGGAAATACGCCAGGAAAATGGGAAAAGGTAAAAATAAAAGCCAAGAGAAAAAAAGGAAGAGAGAGGGCGGGAAACTGAGAAGAAAGGGAGACGGTGGAAGATCGTACACAAGTTATGGCACTCTCCCTTAGTTCTTAAATATTCATTTGTCCCGGGCCAGCCTCAAAGCTTCTCCCTCGAGATGGAAAAAAAGGGAAAATGAAAAAATACAATGAAAAGGGGCAAAATAAAATCTCGGGCCCGATGAAGACGAAGCGTTCGCCGGTACGAGAGCGGGCCGGGATACGTTTTTCCGAGCCGGCCATTGGTTCCCCTTTAATCTTTTATCGCCGGTGAGATTTATTCGGTAGACTTTAATGACCCACCCTATATGTTGGGAGTTTCGCGAACTCGTGAAAGGCCGCCTTGTAAACCGAGCCGAGGGAATCCACCAGGTCGATTAGTTGCGGCACCCTACTTTGAGGTCAGGTACGTCCGTAATTATCAGCCAATCAGGGATTAAGGGGAATATCCTGGGCCATCGCTGGCAAAGAAATCAGTTTAGCCGCAGGAATAAATATATCGATCCGTGAATAAATTTTTAAGAATTTTTATTATTAAACGGTCTGCTACGTTACCGGGTTAAGTCGATAAAAATGTTCGCGCGACTTTCCGAACTCGGCATCAAAAGTGTTAAATCAAAGTGCGGAATAAATTCATCGGCAAGTGGAGGAGCTCGGCTTTGAAAGTGGCGATCGATAGCGGGGATAAAATTTCCAAGAGAAAATCTTCCCGACCTCCTTCGCTGCGTTTCGAGAAGACTCGAAAAGCTCCACTCGATGCGTTTGAACTCCTCGACGAGTTATTCGGTAACGATTGGCTCGATAATCGAATAACTTGCTCCGATAAATATAACGCCCCTTCGAGTGCGCGCAATCGTCTCGGAAAGCTTTTCGAGGTCTCTCGAGAGCTTTCAAGATGGCAATAAAGAATTGTCATCGGAGGCATATACACGGAGGCTGCCAAACAAATCGTCGACTGTGTTCAATAATTTCGTCCCGCTTTCGAAATCGACCGCAACTTCAATTTCCGTTGTCTCGAATTTTTTTGCACTTACGCGCGCGTCGATAAAAAAAAATAAAGTTGCGAGTGATTTTTGAAATCCAAAGATCTGCGAGTATTTCAACTCGAAGCTTTCCATTACGCAGGCTCGGAGCTCGCGATTTTTCGAAAATTTCCAAGCCGTGCCATCGACGGGCACAAGCTCAGCTGGAAGAGCTTATGGCGGTACAAGCTCTGTTTGCCGTGGGCTATGTAAACGGCTTTACGATCAGCCCGGGGTCCTCGTGATACTTTGCAGATGCTCCAAGACACCGGTCGATGTAAACACCTCCGGTAGCGGAGGTGGCGCTTTTATTCGGCTCGGGTTTACTCGGAGCTTTCGGCGCTTTCGACGCTTTCCTCGGCCATGGCGGGCTTGCGGAGGCGAGCTTGCGATGCGCGCCGCGTGTGGCCTCGTAAAACAAATAATCGCGGCATCGACGCCCCCTGATATATTTACGCGCCCCGAGCCTCGTGTACCTCGCAAGCTCGAGGAAGAGCTTTGTCGATCCACCGGGAAGCTCTAACAAACTCGAGAGAGCGAGCTCCTCCATAAACCCCCCCTAGAGAGAGCCGAGCAAAACCGTAGGCATTTTTTACGATTTCTCTACCGCGTAATTACGCGCTTGTTCAATTTATATTAACACCGTTTCTTGCTGGTCCGCTGGGAATAAAAGTCTAAAGTGAGAGGTGTACCGAAATTTTCGAGGTTAGGACGTGATTCATGGGAGTGTTATTCAGGGATCGAGGGGATATTTTACGTTTTACGGGTTTATAGGATATCGCTCATCGACCGAGCGACATCTTTGCGACGTCCAAACTCTGGAAACAACGCTTAGGCAAGCTTAAAAAACTTTGCCATTTTGGCAAGTATATTCCGGGGATATCTGCATACTCTCGGTTTCAGTACATTCGCGCAAGTTTGGCTTGGGTGTGTACTTTTCGTATTACGTTGCTATGGAGTAAGCTGGACCGGTCACTTGCCCACGGAATTCCTCTAGAGAATCCTGCGATTAAACTTGCGGTTAATATGATTTTCCTCCGAGTTTTCATTCATTCCAATTTGCATTTCATTTTCCATTTTCTACATTTTAGCCGTCGCCGATACGTGATAACACCTATACTCGCGGCAGTCGGTTTTGGGTTTGACGTCAGATGCTCGTTTTCCCGTAATTTACGTTTTGTTTCGGGAATTTCACCGGGGTGGAATGAGAACGAAAATCTGTATTCATCTCCCTACAGTGGACAAAATCCACGATTTCGGGAATTATAAATCAAACGCGTCGTGATCGAAAAGGGAACATTTACTCGACCGGCAAAGTCCATTTGCCGCAGTTTCAAAGTCGCGGCTCGAATCGATAAAGGACACTAATTAACGCAAAATGTACACGCCAATCGCTTTTGGCAACCACCCAATACCCCACGTATCGTCGGTCAGATCTTGTTATCCGGGAAAAAAAAATTATTCTCTGCAAGTTCTCTTCAATGTTCTTTAAAAGAAACGTACTACCCGCGCGGTGCAAACAGTCATCCATTGCAACAATCCAGTCCCCACAAACGAGTTGAATTCATTTATTTCTGTCTTAAAAATCTAAGATACAATGACTCCTCCCCAAAGTGACGAAACAGCGCATATAATTAGAGCCATAATCCAGCCGACTAGATTTCCACAATTTGCGCATTTATGTCATGAAAGCGTTCCCGAATAAAATCAATGACTAGAGACGCACACGAACGCTAGCAGACCTAACCTAGAAATCCTACTCCCACCGGCAGAGCACGTACTAATTATGGGCAATTAATTAACGCTGCAGCATCGCGCTGCCAGTGAGCTGCATAATAATTTGTATATCTATGTACACGTATGCTGGAAGTCCGAGACAGGGTTTGGGGGGTGTGGAACGATCGAAGGCGTCGTTGGGACCGATCGACCGAATTATCGATTATTGTCGTCGATCCACGTCGACGCCATCGCCTGTTGAAGTTAAACGTACCGCGGCTGTCGGTTTAATTTATTCGGGGCCATTATCGAGGCTGCTTCGATTCGAATTCCCGGCATTCGAGTGACTTCCGGCGCTCCGAAATCGCACTTCTTGTCCGAAGATCGAGAAAGAGCAGTCGAACTCGAAGTTCATGAATATTGATCAGTGCCGAGTAAATCGGTTGCCAAGAAGTCGATTAAAGAGATAATGCTCTGATAAGTGCGATAATGCACTTTGCAGGGCAGCAACGATTGTTTAGGTGAGCTTAAAGCTGCCGTTCGGACCGGAAGTTCTTACGATGGGAAGAGGGTGCGAGGGCTTACCGCTCGCTGTTTCACAGGAATTGGCTCTAAAAGCTTAATTGGTCGTGAAACGAGTGCGCCGATGGCGGGGAAAAAAATAACAAGGTCTCCGGTGCCGCATCCTCGTGTGTTAATTGCGACACCTAACGATAGAGAGCTCCGCCCGTGCCAAAGGAGATTCGAAGGTTCCTGCATATGCAAACGCGTCTATAAGTCGAATTTTAATGGGCCATTATTGCCCGGCAACATTTCGCTACATGCCCGCGCCATTGATCGTTACGAGAGAATTATTTAGTACAGTGGCGCGACACTTGAAATAGTGGAATTACGTTTCGATTGCGAGCCTGAAAAGAAAGATTGAAAGTAGCGCGGCACCGAATCGGTGGAGGTATGCCAAGAAAGATGAAGCTTATTTGGACCTCTTGGCCTACGGAATGGGCTGCGATTATTCACCGAGTAGCGTGGTTCGATTGGGTTAATTTAATAAACAGATCGAGAGGAGTGGATTTTTAGGGAGTTCCGAATTAATGGAATTCCTCCAAGAATTAAAGGCTTACGCGGGTTTAGGGACGAGTTCGAGAATCGTGCCGAATTATTATCAGGCGCTCTGTATATAATTCTTGGAAAGCTTTAGAAAAATTAATTTTTCTCCGGTAGATCTGCAAGCCCGAGACTAATGGATTAATATTAAAATAATTTATTCATCTTTCCAGAAAGCAAGGCTGGCTCGCATCAGGATCGCAAAGGCGTCGAGTGGTGCGGCTTTCGTCAGCAAGAAGAAGGCCGCCGAGGCGAGATTGGCGGCTCAGGAAACTGGACTTCAGCTCGACGAGAACTACAAGGAGGAGGACATCTTCGAGCTGCAGCACCATCATCTTCTCCGGTGTCTGGAGAAGACGACGGTAAGCCAGAGAAATATTTCCTACGTCCATCGGATCCGAGTCAGAGGGGAAAGCGCGAACCGCTTCAAGGGACGTTCCCTAGAATTGGTGAAAATGGTATCCCGCTTCGTAATTATCGCCGTAATATTGAATACATGACAATTAAGAAGCAGTTACCATCCAGTCCGGGGAAGTTTGTTTCTTCTTAGGATTCCTCGCGACTCCTAACGAGCAAAGTAAGGGCACGATAATTCCGGAAGCTAACTTTCTTGAATAACGAGCCGGGAGTCCGGATATTAAATCCAACCGAATTGCAGATGCCTGAGAAATCCGCTGCCAGGTTTCGCGCGACTTCGGCTCGGAAATTTTCTACGGTTTAATAAGATTGTCGGCTGCAGTAAATTTGATGAGCTAACACTCCGTTAGCGGGACGCACCCAATTTCGGACTCGGGAGGTCTATTTACTCGAAAGTCCTAACCCAATTGGCAGAGGCGTATACCGACATTATCGACCACGTCGTCCCGTAGAAGCTGTCGTCGTTATTTGAGCAAAAGCTTGCCAGGAAATAATAATTTCTCTCGGACGACCGGTCGTTAATAACCGTCCGGCGTAACAATGGCGGACTTTAGCCGGGGCTCAACTCGTGGGTATTGACCACCCCGGTAATTTGAATAAACCCTCTAACGTCGGAAATCCTCCATCGCGAATTAAGTGGCTACCGGAAAATTACGATCCTCGATGATGAAAAGGTGCAGATCGAGAGTGCTTCGATACCCTGACTACCGAACCTTGGAAGAATTTATTCAGATTATTCCAATTACGAGTAGATATTAAAATGAAAAATTAGTCGAGAAAAAAAAAACATGGGGCATGCCTTCCAGTCCTGTGTATAAAATATAATTTTTCGTTGGCACAATTCTACGCTTAAAACTGAATATCGTCGTTTCTGCGAGCTAACGCTCGATTGATTTTGATATAAATGCGTTATTTATCCAGCGATATCAAATTATCTAGTCGGTACAATCGAATCGTTCCTCTTGGCCCAGCACCCTGGCCATTTCACGGATTTCAGTGAAAAATACTCGAGGATGTAGGAAGAATATTTTAATAATTTTTTTCCGAGTCGGCGACTCGAATAATCTGATTTAGAATTAATAAGGGGGGTCGTAGACCCGGAGCATGAACGAATCAGGTATCGATAGATGTCACTCGTCGATACCGTGGAACCTCTTTCTTCGCTCCGATTTTAAAAGAGATTCGCACTTCAGGCCAGAGAATAGGTCGCGTGGTTCAAAGAATAACGAGACAGAAGAGCGAGGAATTACGGAAAAGCTCGGAATTTGTTAAGAAATCAGGTTAAGTGGTTACCCAAAGGAGAACCATTATTCCAAAAAGCCGATTGAATCTTCGATCTGATCTTGGCGCTTCGATGGGATGCAGTTGAGAACTTCTCTCCGAAGAGAGGTCGCATTCACACCTACGTTGACATATTTTGCCTTGTACTATCCTTGATATCGTCGTACACCGTGCGAAAACGTCTTTTGTCTCCTTTTTACACGAATGTTGTTTGGTTGTCTCGCTACAGTTAAGTACATTAAATTACAGAGCAATGACTCGGATAGGTGTATACACGAGGAACCGAGCATGGTTTGGCACCCTGAAAAGACGAAGTTTTCAGTTACTGGTACATGCCTTACTCTTTCTATCCCATTTCTCGGGGTAGAGTGCCAAGCCCTTTCGGTCTTAATTTTCAGTTATTGGCACGTGTCATGCTTTCCGAAACTAATCTTCTTCCTCTCGAAGCTTGCCAATCACGGTCGCGGTGCCAACAATCGACTCGTGTACTCGTGTACTCCATTTGTTCCGACATTAGTTTCATGAACATTCATTGCAGGGCACGCCGTGGAGTAATTTCTTTTAGGGTGCTCTAGTAAAATGGCGCATCATTGGAAACTGCTCCCATTTCCAAAATGCGGGGTCAATGACTCGTCCCTGGAATTCGTCGTTCAAACTCATCTTTTCTTCCACGGTCCGAAGTGGACTTCGGTGGGGCTTTTTCCCCATTTGTCACGGCAACTTGGCCAAGTCGGATCCGAGTCGATCCGTCATGAATATCGATGCAGAATTCATCCCTTCTTGAGTTTCAGGGGAGTATCTCCCCTTGCCCTGGAATCCATTCCGCCCCTGTTTACTTTTCTCGAAATCTCTCCAAGCCATCCGGCAACGTGCAAGCTCCGAAAAGTTCCCTCGAAGCGCCTACAGGGACGGAAGTCCTTCTTCTTCCTCCTCCTTTCAACTTTTCCCTACTTTCCCCGAGATTTTCTACGTACCAAAATACTCCTTAAGGGAAGTGCGCCGTGTCGTTGGAAAATTAACTTCGGTATCCCAAACGGCCCTCTAAACCGATTAACTTTCCTCCCAATACCAGATTAATATTTCAGGGTCAACCGATGAAGGTGGACAAAAATGTATAATAAAACCCTAAAACCCTATACTTCCGAATGTATCGTACAAACATATTAAAATTTTAATTCCCGCACTTAATAGCATTTAATTAATGGTCTATCGCTTTGGCACGATGGAACGAGCCGATCTAGCCATATCAGGAGGATGCAGTTAATCTCCGGGGCTTTTCTTGCCCTCTGCATCGATCTCCAGGTCGTCAGCATCCGCGAGGGGAAGCTGCCCTGTGTCGGCTCCGTTGTGTTCATGGTCGATCGAATATCCGGCTTGATACCAGGACGTCATTCTCGCGCTAATTATAGCCACCCTCGGCGCAAACCCGGTGCGATTCTAATAATAACTGGCCCACGGGTCGACTCGATTTTCCATCTCATATATTATGGAAGGCCATTTTCACGGAAGAAAGCTTCGAAAGCCGGCAGACCTCGAGCCGTCTTCGCAGCCGCGGGTCCCGATATTGGCTGTCAACTTTTTGGTGCTGCAATCGCCTCCCGAAATTGATCCCACCGCGCTGCGTGACGTCAGCTCTGCCCCAGGATGTCGGAAACATCACTCCGCGTCAAGTTGGCGAATTATTGGGTTACTTTCGCGGCTCCGATGTAAACCCACCCCCGGTTTATTCCCTTCTCGGCGGGCGCAGCTGCGCGAAGGAATATGATAAAAATTGCATTGTGCGTGCGCACTGCATCTGCGAGACGTAGCTCGGGGATGTAGGTCGGAGAAATGAAATGTCACCGGTGTCGTAACTGCGGTTACGGTAATACCGATCACGTGTAAATGTAGGGGACGGCAGTTTTGCGGAGTTATGGTTATTCTTTCGGAAGTACCTCGCCGATTGGTTGCGTCGACGACTCCAATTTTTACAGGCGCAACGGTGGGATTTGCGTTGGTCATTTTCACGGGTTTGCGTTTCCTTGCGGTTGTAATTCTTCCCTTCTGATGACACCACACGTACCGCGATCCGTTTACCACGGTGAACGTCTCGCAATTTCGGAGCACGTAAATGACGTTATTTAATGGAAACGGTCGCGGTTCTTCCGGAAAAATGGGAAAACGCAGTCATCGCGGTTACACGGGATGCATAAAACATGCGTCCTTAGAAATTTTACGACAATCCCCGGGAGAACTCTTCGGGCATCGAATGCATAAACAGCCCCAGGGAATTTTTTCATCCAGAACTTGATGACCCTTTCCGTCCACCCTTAGGACTCTTCGTTCGTGCCGTTTCGAAAATCTGCCTGGTGGTCCGATACGGCTTTCCGTCAGATCCGAGGCAGGCCTGCTGGGAGAGTCAATCGGATTACGATTCAACTGGTTCCAGCTGGCGGTACAGATCGAAATCGAGTTATCGCCCTGGAACGGATGCTCTTAAACGACAAGCACCCTGCTCTTGTTCGATGCTCCATGACGTCCCTTATAGCGCGTATAAACCATGTAGAACATGGACGTCTTCTTCGGCGCTACGTGGGGTATATGGTGCATCGGTTAATACCGGCGCCAGTTTTACGAGACAGTCGCGAAATTATTCCTGGAGGGGAATTAAAAATCCTCGGCTGGATGCAATTAACCCAGTATTCCCGAAACTGCCCGTCCAAATAGGTTCCCCGTTAAAACGACCAGTGACGTGACTATCGATATTGAAAACTATGTGCGAAACGCCATTCCCAGGTGCATCCTGATCTTGCATGCGCTGCATATAAAGTACCCTGCACCACCCTCCAATAATGCTCCTCGGGTGCAACCGCTTCGAAAACACATAGGCCCGATATATTTTCCCGAAATTCCTCGTAAGATTTTTATCAGACTTTAGAGAAAATTTTACGGATTAAATTCGGTAGAACTTTTGTGTCCACGTCGTAACCGGGCAAGAAAATACGGCCGCGAGGTAATCGGGCGTCGTGCGTATAAAAATATTGAAATGACCAAATGTACCACTCGATACTTTCTTTTTACAAGTTGTCACGCGCACAAGTTCCTCTTTCTCGGCGAAAAGTAGCCCTCGCTATGATGTATGTGGAGAGGAGGGAGAAGTCGGTATATTTATGCGGAGGGAAGGAGCACTCCCAAGGGGGAGCCGATCTGAATATATTTGTCGCGCCCGAGACGAAGGGCATAACTCCTTCCATCGGAAAAGCGTGCATCCTCCCCCTGTGCCTACTCACGTGAGTCGGGGTTCCCATCAAAGATGCAACGTGGAGGGTCACTTTTTGGCAGCGAGCGCCGATCTAAGTACATCCGCCACCTAAACGATGAGGCATATATATCTCGACTGGTATTATCTACCCCACGTAAGGCCGCTCCAACGGAAAGTTGGGCGGTTTCGAGATTGCCTCGCGATGCATCAATCAAATTCCGATACGAGCCGACTCCTCCGGGACATCGAGCTCACTTTCGTTTCCCTGTTTCCCGACTTCCTGGTGGGATATATCGCGAACGGGAGGAAAATCAGAATCCGGATATGTCGGGTTCCACCGGAAAGGGGTCCCCGGGAGGCCGTCGCATCGGTCGCGGGCAGACAATACCGTGACACGTCGACGTCGATTTATCCGGCGGGCACCGAAGTGGCTTTCAACCCTTTACCATCAGCACCGGAGCCGAGAAAAATGTTTGATGCCTCGCAGGGCTCGCACCGATACGTCGATGACAACCCTCGTACGCAGGTTCGCCATTGACCACCGCGTTACCGGGGACAGGGATGAGACGCGGGGGGTGTTATTTACGAGATGGACGATGGCGGAGGATTTACGAGCGAACCACCGGCTCCATTAAGCCGAGATCGTTCTTGTCGTCGGGACTTCCGGTTAATATCGCCGCTGAAATGGAAACTCGTGTCGGACCGCTAACCGCGATCCGCCGATCGCGTCGCATCGGCGAATTTCGCGGTTACTTCGGGAACTGCCTTGACATTGACTCGATTCGCAAAGATAACTCCCGGAGACGTCCCGTGCCCAGGATGACGCGGTGTCAAGGATTTTAAAAGGTGGACTCGAAACAAGCGCCGGACGGAATCGACATTTATTTACGAAGCGTCTCCTATCAGCTGGAATCATGGGTGGCTTCACCGTCTCTCCCGGGTCGAGGAGACACGAGGAAAAAGCGAGGAAACCTGGGAAATCGATCGTCGTCTCGGGACGTTCTAATTTCTCGCCAGCTTCCGATAAGGTGCCTCTAAGAGTTCGGATGAATTGCTCGCGGGCAATATTTTCATTTATGCAAAGTTGACCCGCTTCTTATCTCCGGGAAAGTTCCGAAGAAAAGATGGACGCCCTTTACTCTTAGCGGGACCGTCTCGAGAGTTATTCATAAAAGTGTCGGAAACTGCTGATGGCCTAACCGGAGAATAAATCTTTGGAGATTTCGCGATCTTTCAAGTATCATATTTCCCGCGTTAACGTTTAATATTTATTATCATCGATGCCCGACTGATGGTCCTTTGTCTGGTGACATGTTCAGGACCGAGAGTTCGTGGAGATGGAGGTGCCCTACAACGGAGCTCCGAAGAGGCCCGGGTCGCCGTCGCCGTTGACGTCGCCGGCCCACAGCACCGCCTCGAGGGGTGGTCTGCTGCACTCCTGTTGCGGCCGGTGTTACCCCCAGCGATACCAGGTACGGGGTCGACGTATTCTGGCATCGACGACCTCCATCAGCGAAGGTCCACCCTCGTCCTCTTCCCACTCGCACCAGTCTCAGGCCCCGGGCCAATCTCGATACCACCAATCCCAGTCCACGGTCGATCCCACGATAGTGCCGAACGTCGCGTTCAACGTGCCCGGCGACGCCGAGCGTCGCCGGCAGGCTCTCGGCATATCCGGCAGCCCTTACAACGAGACCCGGGTGTGAGCCCCATCGAGGCTACGATTTGAGGTTAGGTGGCCCGAGGGACGCCGGATCGCTGGGATCGCGTCGAGGTGCCATTTTGCGGGCGCACGGTCATATGGCAAATCTGTCGAGCGGGCCAAAGGAGCTTAGACCACGGATATCCAGACCTCGCATTGAAATTTAAGGGGTAAACTCAAATTTCACGGAGCCGTCGGCACGAACTAGAATGCCTACGTGTAAAAAGGGCCCAATCAGATTTTAGACCCTATATGCGTGGACTTCGCCTTTCAGTGGAAGAGGTAAACCAATGTCGAGCCGACAACTCGCCCACGTGGTTAATGCCATTCCGCTTATGGAAAGTTTGGAAGTGGGAGGTCCAGTGCGAGGTCTGGATATATATGGACTAAGGCCAAGAGTGCCGAGCGAATCGAAATGCCGTGGGAACTCCCCTTTTGCATGCGAACGGGATTTTTTTTTTCTTCTCCCCGAATGGCGCCGTGACAAACGAAGTACCTGAAATCGATCGCAAAGTTATCCGGGAGGAAGGGTGCCCATTTACTCATCTGGGCATCTTCCGTCGAGGTAAACCCCGAAAGGTCTCCCTGCCCCTGATGATCCCTCGCTCCGCCGTTACGTCCTTTCCCGGATATCGACTGCCCGAGTCGACGCGGCGCCCCCGGAGCGCCGCGACGCCTCTGGCGGCGCTCGCTGGAACCGGCCCCTTGCCTTAGCGACGTCTTCGCAAAGTCTTCGCGACGTCCCTTGCGAATGGGGTCACGGCATGAGAGTACCAGAAATCCTAGTTAAACTTATTTAAACCAGCTCCCAGCCACTTCTTTCATCGTGGCCAGAGGCGGTTCTTCTCAGAGCACCGGCTTACGTCATTTAACTCCGAATTCGTTTCAACTTTCGCGACGTCGACCATTCACGGCGATGACGGATTGCAAAAACGTTGTCGGTTTTGGGAAAAATTTCGCTCAACCGAAGTCCGGGGCTTTAATCTTTTTCTCCCGAGCACTTTGCTCCAATTCACTTCCGTGTTGTCCGATTTTCAATCTTTCCGAGAATATAAATTGCAGAATTCTTGAGGGTGATGCGTCACTGGAGGGAGAGAGATTCTGGATAATTTTTAGCGGGAAATTTTAGTGATCTCGTCGCTGTGGATCACTTTGATAAGTCGGCCCATAACTTGAGAGATAGAGCGTACTCGAAATTGTCCTTCGTATTAACTCCGGTGACGCTCCTTTTACGAGGTTCTACCGCGCTTCAATTTATCAGAGAACACTCCCGAGGTCCTGCTCGTAAATACGTTATGGCTCGTGGAATCATGCAGCGACTCCGTTGGCCCTGCTTAAATTGGACGTTTAACTTAGGGCGAGTTTGCGCGGCAGATTAGACGGGTTGGAGAGAAAGGGCAGAACGGTCGCGATGATAAGATAATCGACTGTCGCGGGTCCATCGATCGAGGACCCTTACGGCGACTGAACTGATGCGAGTCATTCTAATTCGAAGCTCTCGACTTGCCGCGATCGGAGCTAACGTTAGATTAAATTAGGATAGTCGGTGTATCCTCTCGCGGAGGTCCGATAAAAAGTCTTCGCATCTCTACGCGAACTTCGCGTCCTACACCGGTGTCGGTATCGCGCTAGATAGGACGACAAATATCAACCGAACCCCAAAAGTCGTTTAAGGCCTACAATGAGGACCCACTTCCAACGTACTTCCAGTCTAACCGTTAATCAATTTTTTAATTCATTAGACGCAATTATGCGAATTATCCGAATTAGTCGAGGCGGTAAAATCTGACTACGTTGTAAGGTGTCGGTGGGCGACCGAAGACTTGAGGAATATCGAAAGGAGATTATGGCTTACATTAGAAATCTGTCTACATTGGTTTACTAAGGGGCGAAGGTGCACCAGAAGTCATACGAATGTGAGAGTATTAAACGTGACATAACTACTCGGGTGGCGCCGTTCAAGATGGCGCCGTCGTCGCGAACAGCTGATTCCGATATTCGGGACCGCGGACGCGGTCATTTCGAGAATTTGCCAAAGTATGACCGTCCCAAGGAAAAGTGGACAGCTCATTCTGACGGAGTCCCTCCTGGAAGGCCTCCGTCGGCGCGAACGAGCCAATTCGCGTATCGTCTGGCTAAAATGACTCCGAGAAAGGTCGCCCCCCTGTGACGGGCCAGTGGAAACATTTGGCCAGCCATCGATCCGTAAATCATCCCTTTCGGGACCGCGGAATAGCGCACTCAGGTTGACGTTAACGTTTCGAAAGTCAGCCTTGATAAATGGCCGGACTGACCTGACAGATTGGGGACGGAAGAGTTCACATTGAAAGTCCATTCTGCCGGCGATATCACCTTTTCCAGTCGCCATTTTTTCCCCACCACGTTTCCCTTTCGAAATTGTTTCTACGAAGGGCTCGCGGGAGTGAAAAATTATCTTCCCGTGATATTCGCGATTCACTCCTACGACGAGGCTAATAAATCGATGCAGGATAATGCTCCTCGAGCGCGCGTTGCACCTTCGCATCCTTGCAGTTGCACCCTCTAATAGGGACCCGAAGATATTAATTTAGTAATCCGACGGTGCTCGTCGGTGCTTCGATATCGACGTCTCGAGTTATTTCCCCGATCCGGTAAGTAAGAACTCAGTCGGCTCGCAACTGCAATCTCTGCAGCTGCGTCATCTGTTCCTCGCAAGGTCCCACGAGCGAGATATTGCAGAATGCAGGGCGTCATTCGCGAAAGTTTCCTCAGCCTCTCGGCCCCCGGAGTCGCAGCTGCAGCTGCATCTACGCCTTGGAAGTAACAAGGCTATTACTCTCGTTGAAATCGCCTCGCCTCTGTCGTCCGTCTTCGGAATGCGGCATTCTGGATGTCACATTTGACGCCTCTTGAATTTTTCCCAACCTTCCTCGCTTCTACAGACGAATGGAGATTAACAATAAAAAACAGTACGCGCACATCCGCGCAAACATATTCCCTGTTTGCGTGTTAGCAATTTAGTACACACTTTTTCGCAGGGAGAGTTCAATTGGAATTAATTGCTCAATCCTTAAAAATGGACCTAATCGCTCGTTCCTCAAGTTTTCGGCCGTTCGGAAGAAAATCACGCGACAGCGTTATTAAATATTTCTTGAATGACAACAAGGTACTAAAATGATATCATTTGCACAATAACTCTGATATTACTCGTGCCCGAGAACGTGTGCCGTCACCGGTCGCTCATTAAGGCACCCTTAGTAGAAAAATTCTATAAACATTCCAATACCTTCCCGTCGTCGATTATATTTTGGCGAATATCCTCCAAAAAAAAAAAAACATAGGAAGTAACAGTTAGACTGCCTTCGTTTAAATCCCTGATAACATTACATAGGTGTCAAAGTTTGCGATCGCGTTACTAGGAATAGGTATGTAAATAATTAAATTTCGTATAGTATATGAAATTTAGTCATATACGCGACTGTAAAGTAAGCCTACTATTCATTAGTACAATTTGAATTCGAGGCACTAAATAATAGCAGTGCATGAAACGAGCCTAACTGAAATAACACTGAATCTTAATCGACTGGAAATTGAATGGAACGATTCGTTAAGTTAGCAGACAGTTTCTGTAAATATGGAACGTATTTAGCAGCAGGAAGTAAATATTTTATTTAACGATTAAGCAGATATTGTTCGTGAGTGATTATCGGAATAAACGTTATCAAGGGATTTTCACGTCCAGGCTGTCAGAGGGGGCGGTGCAGAGAGAAATAAGATATGAAAAGTGGAATCGATGTAAATACAGGAAGAGAAAAAAGACAACGGAGATTCTAAACGAGGTGGTCTATTTATCGTTAGATTCTAGTCGTATCGGACAAGCAAGGTTTTTAGCCTTATCACGGACTCGCGTCGGATTTAAGGAAACGGTCTTAGATTAAGGGCAAAAATGATTCGAGAGAAAGAGAACGAATGAACGGATATTACATTGAATTTGGCTAATTAAAAGTTACTAAGGTATAAGACACTCGACGGCACGGAGTGACGTCTTAAATATTAGTCGGTCTTAGGTCTGTACACTTCCGGCATGAGGTCAAAACTAAAGTATGTCGCGAGAGTGCGGACCTCTGATTTTTACCGCGGGGGTTATCACCGTCGAATTATTTCTATCATTATCTAAGAGGACAGAGTGCCAGAAATACTCCTTCTTGATTGGGGGATAATCAATAGTGTTAAGGAACTTTCACTCCAGTGGGAGAAGGCGTGTGTCAAAAGTATGGTCAAGAATTGAATCAGCCAATAGTTAATTATTCTATGTTACATAGGTGCCGATATGACTGTGGCTATATGCAGAAACAGGTGCACAGTTGTATATACACGAATAAGGATGATTTCGTAGTCAGCTCTTGTCGTTAAAAATGCCATGTATGGCCATTATCCGTAATTTGTCGGTATGACAAATTATACTATACAAGAGCATGTGCACATATGTATATAGACGGACATATTGACCTTACGATCAGCTCTCATTTCCGAGGAACTCGACGAATTGGTACGGTCAAATTGCACAATTGAAAGCGAAGGTTGTAAGGTATGCCGCATTGTTGTTTTATTCCATGAGACTGTACGATATATATATCTCGGACTGTACAATCATATTCTATTTAAATGTGAGCTTTTATCCTTTGAAAAGCCACTGACTATTTGTACGGTCATTACGAGCACTCGAAGGCTGTGCGCGTAAATATTCTCAATGGAGTAGCGATCCACTGGTATGTCTATAAGTATACGACA